AGAGGCCCATGCTTTGACAGCTTCTTCCTAATTCGGGGCATGGGGGATGCCCAGACACCAGGAAGGGCACATCTGTATTTCTCTGAGCTGAGCAACAGCAAAAGAAGATGTAAAGTAACTGTCCAAGCTGGAGTGTGGGTCCTTCCATGCAACGGGACGTGAGCCTCCCCCTCATTCCCACTGCAGCCATCCAAACACCCATAAATATGCCACAGAGCAGAGCCAGATGATGTGCAGCCTGCTCCAGGCCTCTGCCCTCCTGGCTGCTTTCCTGCCTTTGTGCTCCATTTCCTGAGCAGCCCCAGCCCGCCCGGCTTGCACGGCTCCGGGGCCAGCCCAGCCTGGAGCACGGCCCTGCAAGGACAAGGCCACATTCATGCAGAACTCCTGCTGGCCTTGGTCAGCAGACTGCATTCATGTGAAGAGCAGGACCCGCTGTCGCAGACAAAGCCCCTGGAAACGCCAGGGCTCGCTAATCCGCGGGCCGGCCAGGGCCTTACATCAAATACTGTCAGCAGCGCTGGGAGTGCCCTGCCCAAAGCAGGCATTGTGCCGGGTTTTGCTTGGCTTGGGAATTCTGGAGTGACACAGAAACCTCCCCAGTAGATGTTTTGCTTATCCTTCAGGTGGTCTTTGCTTTCTTTTCGGGGGTGGGTGTTTTTCTTTTTCAGGGGCTCTTTGACTTGTATGCTTGAGGAAGTCGCCCTGCAGTGGCTGCGGGTTATTAGGGACGTGTTCACCAGACAGCGGACAAGCCAGGCGTGGATCCGACGGCACTCTTCACACACACGGCTGCCCTGAATCAGCAGCCACGATGGCAAGTGCCATACACAGGAGCTGGACACAGATCCGAGTAGTGAACTGATGGAGAGGGCTGCTGTCTGCGGGCAGATGCTTCACGAGCAGGAAGAGAGGCTGGCTCCATCGATCCGTCTGCGCACCCTGCCTTATTTATTTGTCTTTAGTTACAGAAGCAGAGCTCTACTCCTCCCTCTTGTCTGTGAGCCAGTCCATGCCTCATCCCTGCTGCATGCAGCCATTTCAGGGCTACGAGCAGGGAGATGTTTATTAAACCTCCCTGCGAGTGACATCGGTTACTCACAATAAATTGTAGAAGTCACTCAGCGAGAGGATCACTCCAGCAAAACAGCCATTTCAAACGTGTCTCCAGAGAAGATTCAAGAGGTTTGTTTTGCTTGAAAGGAATCGGTTAGCAAAAAAAAAAAAAAAAAAAAAGAAAAAAAAAAAAAAAAAAAAAAACCGGGGGGGGGGGAA